CAAGGCGAACTCACCTGACCATGGAATAGTTTTGCTCAGCGACCTACAGCAACATACAGTCCCCATCATTGTTTTCCAATGCGTATTTCATTTATTGATTCTAACAGAAATTGTAGCAAATGGTTGAGAAAGACCAGTAATCACTGAACATATCGTATGATACCATAAACTTCAGATTAGTTTATATATAACTCAATATCAAAGCGTAACATTTATTTGTGCAGACACAATGATTATGTTGACTGAATTAATCGTTTTATAATAATAATTATTTCTCCAATTGCGTATAAAATCTAAGAAGGCAGGCACAATCTCAGCAACACTGAATAAATTAAGTGTCTGCATTTCCAAATCAACAAATTACAAATCTCTATATCAAATGTTGAGGTAATATGAAGGTTGACATCTAGAAAAATGAAACATGGTATAAATTATTTGTTCGAGTATTTAGTTAGGAATGATTGCGTAAAAGTGATTGACCATTAACTAAAAAAGTTCATCAGCTCCGTGTGCACCATCACGTTAGTCAGCATCTGTTTTAGCTAATTTGAATGCTGACGTAATTGTCACTTTATTCATTTCAGGGTCACAACCAGCACTCGTGAATGTAGCGATCGGTAAGACAGCAACGCAAAGTAGCGATTGGTCGGCTTCTTACCCGGCAAGCAATGCTGTGGATGGTAATACAAACACGGATTGGTATAGTGGCAGCTGTACCAGCACCAAAGACAACCAAAATGCCTGGTGGAAAGTGGATCTTGGTGGGAATTACCTTGTTCATGAAGTAATTGTTACTAATCGCCTAGATTGTTGTGGTGAGTTGTTTCTTGGTACACTCTCGATCACTCTAGGTTCAATGGTTTTATAGAGCGTTGCTTTGGTGTCTTTGCATCAAATTGGTACAGTGTGTCCTTTTATTAGTTGTAATTACCAGGTATCTGTATATGTTATATAATCTTTGAAAGTATGCAATAAAATGCTTTCATAATAACTTTAGTATAGCTGGTTTTACCATATATTGTGGTTTTATTATATGTAGCATGTTGTTTTATGAAGAGGATAACATATGGTTCATCATTGCATTTCAGAAACCCGTATTTTGAATGCTGAAATTCGAGTCGGTTTGTCAGATGATATATCACAAAAATAGTCAATGTGGGTGAAAAGATAACTTCAAGTCAAACTAGTCAGGCAAACATTCATATCCAATGTAGCAGTCCAATCGTTGGGCGTTATGTCAGTATGCAGCTGGTAGATAGATCTGACCTTTCTCAACTTTTGTGAAATGCAGGTCATGGCTGAAGGTAAGAAACAATCATTGTACATTGCTCCTAAAACGACCAAGACGAACTCACATGGCCATGGAATAGTTTTGCCCAGCGACCTGCAGCAACATTCATTCCCCGTCATTGTTTTCCAATGCGTAGTTCTTTTATTGATACTAACAGAAAATGTAGCAAATGGTTGAGATAGAACAATAATCACTGAACATATTGTATGATACCAGAAACTTCAGATTAGTTGACATATAACTCAAAGCATATCACTTGTTTGTGAAGACGCAATGAATAAGTTGACTGAATTAATCTTTTTATAATAATAATAATAATTCTTTCTTCAATTGCGTATAAAATCTAAAAAAGCACGCACAATCTCAGCAACACTGGATAAATTAAGTGTCTGCATTTCCAAATGAACAAATTACAATTCTATATATCAATTGTTGTGGTAACATTGAAGTTGACATCTAGAAAAATGGAATATGGTATCAATTATTTGTTCGAGTATTCAGTTAGGAATAGTCGTGTTAAAGTGAATAACCATTATCTAAATTATTTCATCAGCTCCGTGTGCACCATCACGTTAGTCAGCATCTGTTTTAGCTAATTTGAATGCTGATGTAAATGTTACTTTATTCATTTCAGAGTCACAACCAGCACTAGAGAATGTAGCGATCGGTAAGACAGCAACGCAAAGTAGCGATTGGTCGGCTTCTTACCCGGCAAGCAATGCTGTGGATGGTAATACACACACAAATTGGAATAGTGGCAGCTGTACCAGCACCAAAGACAACCAAAATGCCTGGTGGAAAGTGGATCTTGGTGGGAATTACCTTGTTCATGAAGTAATTGTTACTAATCGCCTAGATTGTTGTGGTGAGTTGTTTCTTGGTACACTCTCGATCACTCTAGGTTCAATGGTTTTATAGAGCGTTACTTTGGTGTCTTTGCATCAAATTGGTACAGTGTGTTCTTTTATTAGTTGTAATTACCAGGTATCTGTATATGTTATATAATCTTTGAAAGTATGCAATAAAATGCTTTCATAATAACTTTAGTATAGCTGGTTTTACCATATATTGTGGGTTTTTTATATGTAGCATGTAGTTTTATGAAGAGGATTACATAAGGTTCATCATTGCATTTCAGAAACCCGTATTTTGAATGCTGAAATTCGAGTCGGTTTGTCAGATGATATATCAGTAAATAGTCAATGTGGTGAAAAGATAACTTCAAGTCAAACCAGCCAGGCAAACATTCATATCCAATGTAACAGTCCAATCGTTGGGCGTTATGTCAGTATGCAGCTGGTAGATAGATCTGACCTTCTCAACTTTTGTGAAATGCAGGTCATGGCTGAAGGTAAGAAACAATCATTGTACATTGCTCCTAAAACGACCAAGACGAACTCGCATGACCATGGAATAGTTTTGCCCAGCGACCTGCAGCAACATTCATTCCCCATCATTGTTTTCCAATGCGTAGTTCTTTTATTGATACTAACATAAAATGTATCAAATGGTTGAGATAGAACAATAATCACTGAACATATTGTATGATACCAGAAACTTCAGATTAGTTGACATATAACTCAAAGCATATCACTTGTTCGTGAAGACGCAATGAATAAGTTGACTGAATTAATCTTTTCATAATAATAATAATAATTCTTTCTTCAATTGCGTATGAAATCTAAAAAAGCACGCACAATCTCAGCAACACTGGATAAATTAAGTGTCTGCATTTCCAAATGAACAAATTACAATTCTATATATCAAATGTTGTGGTAACATTGAAGTTGACATCTAGAAAAATGGAATATGGTATCAATTATTTGTTCGAGTATTCAGTTAGGAATAGTCGTGTTAAAGTGAATAACCATTATCTAAATTATTTCATCAGCTCCGTGTGCACCATCACGTTAGTCAGCATCTGTTTTAGCTAATTTGAATGCTGATGTAAATGTTACTTTATTCATTTCAGAGTCACAACCAGCACTAGAGAATGTAGCGATCGGTAAGACAGCAACGCAAAGTAGCGATTGGTCGGCTTCTTACCCGGCAAGCAATGCTGTGGATGGTAATACAAACACAAATTGGAATAGTGGCAGCTGTACCAGCACCAAAGACAACCAAAATGCCTGGTGGAAAGTGGATCTTGGTGGGAATTACGTTGTTCATGAAGTAATTGTTACTAATCGCCTAGATTGTTGTGGTGAGTTGTTTCTTGGTACACTCTCGATCACTCTAGGTTCAATGGTTTTATAGAGCGTTGCTTTGGTGTCTTTGCATCAAATTGGTACAGTGTGTTCTTTTATTAGTTGTAATTACCAGGTATCTGTATATGTTATATAATCTTTGAAAGTATGCAATAAAATGCTTTCATAATAACTTTAGTATAGCTGGTTTTACCATATATTGTGGGTTTTTTATATGTAGCATGTAGTTTTATGAAGAGGATTACATAAGGTTCATCATTGCATTTCAGAAACCCGTATTTTGAATGCTGAAATTCGAGTCGGTTTGTCAGATGATATATCAGTAAATAGTCAATGTGGTGAAAAGATAACTTCAAGTCAAACCAGTCAGGCAAACATCATATCAATGTAACAGTCAATCGTTGGGCGTTATGTCAGTATGCAGCTGGTAGATAGATCTGACTTCTCAACTTTTGTGAAATGCAGGTCATGGCTGAAGGTAAGGAACAATCATTGTACATTACCCATAAAACGACCAAGACGAACTCACCTTACCATAGAATAGTTTTGCTCAGCGACCTACAGCAACATACAGTCCCCATCATTGTTTTCCAATGCGTAATTCATTTATTGATTCTAACAGAAATTGTAGCAAATGGTTGAGAAAGACCAGTAATCACTGAACATATCGTATGATACCATAAACTTCAGATTAGTTTATATATAACTCAATATCAAAGCGTAACATTTATTTGTGCAGACACAATGATTATGTTGACTGAATTAATCGTTTTATAATAATAATTATTTCTCCAATTGCGTATAAAATCTAAGAAGGCAGGCTCAATCTCAGCAACACTGAATAAAATAAGTATCTGCATTTCCAAATCAACAAATTACAAATCTCTATATCAAATGTTGAGGTAATATGAAGGTTGACATCTAGAAAAATGGAACATGGTATAAATTATTTGTCGAGTATTTAGTTAGGAATGATTGCGTAAAAGTGATTGACCATTAACTAAAAAAGTTCATCAGCTCCGTGTGCACCATCACGTTAGTCAGCATCTGTTTTAGCTAATTTGAATGCTGACGTAATTGTCACTTTATTCATTTCAGGGTCACAACCAGCACTCGTGAATGTAGCGATCGGTAAGACAGCAACGCAAAGTAGCGATTGGTCGGCTTCTTACCCGGCAAGCAATGCTGTGGATGGTAATACAAACACAAATTGGAATAGTGGCAGCTGTACCAGCACCAAAGACAACCAAAATGCCTGGTGGAAAGTGGATCTTGGTGGGAATTACCTTGTTCATGAAGTAATTGTTACTAATCGCCTAGATTGTTGTGGTGAGTTGTTTCTTGGTACACTCTCGATCACTCTAGGTTCAATGGTTTTATAGAGCGTTGCTTTGGTGTCTTTGCATCAAATTGGTACAGTGTGTTCTTTTATTAGTTGTAATTACCAGGTATCTGTATATGTTATATAATCTTTGAAAGTATGCAATAAAATGCTTTCATAATAACTTTAGTATAGCTGGTTTTACCATATATTGTGGTTTTCGTATATGTAGCATGTTGTTTTATGAAGAGGATAACATATGGTTCATCATTGCATTTCAGAAACCCGTATTTTGAATGCTGAAATTCGAGTTGGTTTGTCAGATGATATATCGAGAAAATAGTCAATGTGGTGAAAAAATAACTTCAAGTCAAACCA